TATAAATAGTTTAATATGAATCTTAGAAAATAATTATTTTATTACATTTGAAAATCAATAACAAATTCGAGTTTCATTCATGAACACTAATGTACTAGTAATGTAAAGGTCGACAAAGCAAAGATGAAGCTTCTGACATAGATGCCCAAGCAAAAGAGCGGAAAATAGACGAACACGCCATCCCTATAACGGCTGTAAAACTTCAAAAGGGCGAACTGGTATTCAAATACACCGAATATTCGGATTTTCATAACAATCCTATTTCCTGCTATATATTCTACGGTCCTTGTCTCCACTTGAAGAAAAGTTCTGGTTTAGATAGACAAATGGTTTTTAATCAGCAGTCGATAATATAGCACGCTGATAAAAGAACAGGAAACTTCAAAAATTGTTTAGCCACCTTCTTCTTTTATATGTGTCGGCATGCAAGACAAACATTTAATAGCATCTAGGACGTTAATTTCCAAATGACACAATAAAAGAAACTGTTATTGTAAAGGAAATCTCAGGAAATGTATTAATATTTTTTAAGATTTAGAAAAGTGAAAACTAAAAATTTGTTTATTATTTCTGAATAATAAAGTAGTTTCCTGCGCTTTAAAAAATTGCTTATAAAGCCCAAAAGCTTCTAATAGGAATAAAATCAACAGTCACCGTTTTCGCTTCTCGAAAACAGGCACATAGCTTAACTGTTACCGACTGCTCACGCGATGCTCGATCGTCGCCTATAGCAAAGACGTCACAATTGTTCCTCAATCTTCCACTTCCTGACCCTAAATCCAGCCTGAAACCTTATCTTTGCTTTGTTGACCTTCACATCACTTAACCATAATTTCTAACGGCACCAGGGATACAATAAAATAGATAAATTTTAAGATGTATATTAAATTAACTAATTTTTTCTTTTTATACATTTCCATAATAGTATTTAATATTTTACCTTACTTAATTCTTCTGATGTAAAACGTAATACTGTAGAAATAGCGTTTAACATGTGACGTTTGCTGGAGACATCACTTGTAGTTAAGTAGTTTACAAAAACATTTTTTAAATATTCAAGATTTGCACCTTCTCTAGATTTGCAAGCTTCCAGTCTAAAAATTATTAATCGTATATACATATGTATTTTCTTCAATTTTTTATTCTTTGCATTAATTTGAAATTTACCTTGCAATTAGAGCTTGTAAGTTTTTTGTTTCTTCCTTTTGTTTTTCCTTTATATGAACGATTTCTCTTTGCTTTTCCCGTAATGCTGCTTCTAATTCCAAAACTTTCTTCCTAGACGCTGATACTTGAACCTCTTTTCTTGCTAACTCTTGACTGTAATGTAATATTGGAGGACTGTCGTTTGTTAACAATCCAGTTACTAAATCATTAATCGGTTCTGCTCTACTTTCATGTTTTGATACATCTATTTTAGTTTCTATAGTATTTTCCTTTTTAGGTATTAATACGTGAAAAGATGTTTTTAAAGCAAAAATTTCTTTATTTTTTTCTTCAATAAGGGCCATCGAGCGTACTCGTTGACGTAATAACTGTTGCTCCAAGGCAAATATTTTACTACGAAATTCATTATCTTTCTGTAGCAACATATGTTTCAGTTTCCCGCGTTCTTCTTGAAATGACTGTAAAAATAATGTTAGTAATAACTAAGTTTGACATTATTTATTAAAAACACATTAAAAAGAGGAAGGAAAAAATTTACTTTTTCCTGATACTCTATTTTTAATTGCAATTCTCTTTCTTTATTCGCAATTTCATTATTCAACACACGTATCCTTTCTTCCAAATTATTATTATGTGCTTTTAAAAAATGCAGTTGTGTTTTGCTGTTTTTATCATGAGAAGATGCAAAATTTTGATTCTGAATATTATATGACATATCTGCAACAGTACTATACTTCACTTGTTGTTTATAATCCTCGAATTCTTGTAATAGAATTTCATATTTTTCTTTATAGTCAACAACCTGTTGCTTATCATATAATTCTAAGCTGTGCAGTAACGCTAAAAATAAAATTTGTTAATAATTTTTAACGTGCTAATTTACTTTTTAACAAATTCATATATAATTTTCTTTAATTAACTCACATTTAACATGCGCTGATTCATTCTTCTTATTATCTAAATCTAACAATTTGGTGTAAAGATTTTTTATTTTAGAAATAATTTCTTCTGGTTCATCATTTAATGTAATATAATCATTATGTTCAGAATCTTGTAGGCTAGCTAATTGGTCTTTCAGTTTTTGAATAGCTTGTTGATCATGTTGTCTGAGTCTATCATATCCTCCAATAACTTCTGAAAGTTCAGCCAGTTTTGCTTCTAAACCAGCTACTCTTGCTTCATGAGTCATTGCTAATGCTCTAGCTTGTTGTTCTGCAGTAGTAGCTCTTTTTTGCTCCTATGGAATAAATTAACTATATTTATATCAATTACAGACAGAACAATACTCCTAAATATACATCTTTGAAAATTACTTCATGTATTGCATTTAAATGTTGCTTCTTCATATGAGCCATCTCAGACTGAAGTGATAATAAAATTGGAGGTGTCTCTTTAGCTGTTTCTTCTGCTTGTTTAAGCTTGTTTCTAGTTATTTCTAATTCAGCTTCAAGTATTTTACATTGTGTCTTATTTGCAAACTGATTTTTCAATTGCGCTTCCATTTGTTCTTTATTACGGCGTTCATCATATAATAACTTTTGGAGATCCCTAAAAAAAAAATTTTTGTAAAATTTTGTATAAAAATATTTTTTACTATTATGAAACATATTTTTTATATCTTATCACATACTTTATCATTTTAGCTTGATTTGCTTGTTCTTTTTCCCTTTCGTGACGTTCCATACTTAATTTACATTTTACATGTTCCATTTCTAAATAATTTGAATTTTGCGCCTTTTTCAATTTTTCCTTCAAATCTTTAATCACTTTTTCACACTATAAAAGTTATATATTCAGTACATATAATTTACAATTGCTACAAATAATACGAACTCACTTCATCTCGTTCATTTCTCAATTGTTTTCTATCCTGTTGAAAATTTGCTTCCATTTTAGATTTTTCTGCCGAAAGAGTAGCTAGAGAATTCATTAAAGTGTCTAGTCGATGTTTTAATTTTTCTATTGTTTCCGTATCCATAGGATCTGTTTGAATTTCGCGCGACTAAAAATAAGTATATAAAATTACTATTAATTTGTAAATAAGTAATTGTAAATAATTAAAATTTGTATATTATCATACTTGTCGGCAACTAATTAATTCATCATTTATAGTATTTATAGCTTTAGATTTACGTAATTCCACAATTTTCGTATTTTCTGTTTGCAAAGAAATGTCAACTTTATCTGGAATATAAGTATTTATTATTATTGTCAAATTGTTATTAATTAACATTTAAAAAATTTACGACGTTTTAATAATATCATATACCATCCGAATTTTTGTTTTCTCCTGTTATTGAATTTTTATCTTCTGTTTGATCACTTTCCATTGTACTTCAATAAAATATTAATAAATGAAAAGAAAAAGGAACTGGATATGTAAATCGTTTCGATTTTTGTTGCTTACTTTAATAAATAATTACTTGTTTAATTTTTAGCGGTGACATTTAAAGCTGAAATAAAAATAATTTTTAAATAAAAATTAAACTCATAATTCTTAACAATAAGCATTATTACAACAATATACTCGAAGTGTGAATGAATATATTAATATAGTACAAATTACTATCGATACAATAAAAATATCTATATATGTAGAAATATAGATATACTTCAAGTGATTAAAAATTCCCTATATTTATATTTGTTAAATTTTACATGTCATTAAACTTTCGTTGGTTTATGTTGAGGTTTAAACTGGGATTTCTTATTTAAAATCGAAAATTATTTTCTAACAAATATAAAACAATATTTGTTTGAAAAAAAATCGCACTTTCTCACTTACTTCGGTGATATCAAATTGCTGCCTAGATATACATATGTTTCACACGACATCATCAACATATTTAACATCGAATGTATAGCGTTGAACTTATGGTTTTATTATACCAAGAAAAAGATCTTTTAAAGATAGTTTTCTATGACAGATGACATTTACTATAATAATACAAATTGACGTACTACTAACGGTGTCTACACGCTCTCTATAATTCTCTTAACGACAAAATACATGTGACCCTTCAACTGATTAAATGTTGTATCTATAAGCTAATACAACATTGCCGCGCGCGTTATATAAACGTACGTCTTTGGCGTAAAAATAAATAAAATAAAGTAAAAAAATATTGAAATTTTTAAAAGAAAAACTAATAAAGTTGTTAGTTTTTTACACCTACAATGTTATATTAAAAATAATATTTATAAAATTGTGCTAAATCAAACTTGGTTTAGTTTATACTATGTAAAAATAAAATACATATTTGATATACTATTAGGAATATATTTATTTTGAGTAATACTGAACATAAGTTAATTAACATTTATGTTGTTTTGAATTTTCAATATCCCTTATGCTTCATTGGATTCATTTAGTATATTAGACTTAACTGGGGATTCTATTTCTAATGTTACAGGTCCACTGTTTTGTATATTAACTTCCATCAGTGCTCCAAATTTACCATCTGTAGAAAATATTCAAAGAAGTCAATGGATTATTTTTGTAAATAAATCTTTATTAACAATTTGACAGCAATACTTTTGACTCCACTTCAGTAATACTTTTACAAGAATTATTTTCTCATATTTGTTAAGTATTTACCTTTAATTAATTCTGGTTTATATTTCTTACGAAGTTCAGCAAGAAAATTATTATAAAATGGTTCAGATTCTTGAGCAGGCATAGCTCTATGGAAATCTAATTTATTTCCTTTTAAATTATAATATAATGTAAACTGACTGATACATAATATTTCATATTGTTTATCCATAACACTAGCACCCCATTTTTTATTATTATTCTCAAAAATTTTAGTATTCAGTATTTTTTTTACTCTAAGGAAAAAAAGAATTTATTTCTTATTTTACAAAACTAAACTACTTTGATTAGAATTTTACAAATACAATGCAAAATACTAATGTCATTTATTACATGTAATTGATGTCCTCCTTTGAGTCATCTCTTTTTATGCCAATTAAGACGCATAGACCATTTTCAATGCTACTAATAAGTTCACCATCAACTGAAAAATTGTTCTATAATCACAGCTATACTGAATAAAATAAATGTAATCATAATATTATAAAATGTCACGTATATTCTAATGAAAGAAAAATATTAAGCTAAAGTTTATGCATTATTGTATAACTTCATATTATATGAATACTGAATTATATTCTAAATAACGTTTTTATATAAATTCATATTATTTAATACTATATTATTGTTTTAAGAATTAAAAATAAGAAAGCATGTATTTTGACTGTTTTATTAAATTTTTCATAGTGTACCATATTTTTGATTTCATAAACATATGGTGACATTTAATGTTTCTTTTTGACTTCTGTTTTTTAAGAGAGAATAATTTGGTTATTGCAATAAAACAGATATAACCTAATCATTACCTGAAACACTAGCTTTTGCCACTCGTTGTATTACTGCTTTCATATTAAACTAACGTTACTTCTTATATCGTTGAAGTTATCGTTATTAGTGTGTATACTTCAGTAAACTCTTTATAGTTAAATATTTCTTTAAGAAAATGCGCTACTACAATCACTAGTAATACTCCATGAACAAGCCAATAGGAAAGCAAGAATACCCAGAAACCTTACTTCCGCATATAGACTTCCTGTAATGCAGTTTGACTTTTCAAAGATTGTTTACAAGCAAATTGCGGAGTGCATAATCGTTCAGAAAGTTTAATAATCTCGGAGTTGTTTATCGTGGACTTGTCGAGAGTAATAAAAAATGAGCTTATTAAGACTTTGTAATCCATTGCTAAACCTAGGATCATAATTCAAACTGATTTTCTGTGACCCACTTGTTGCGTTTAGGTTATGATATTATAAACAAAAATATGTTGGGTATATATGTTTGGTTTTCATGATAAATTGGTGTATGCCAGACGGTAGGGATGGAGGGTCCAAGTCTGAGCTTGTTTCAAGGCTCAGAAAGTATTCGGTTAAATACAAGTACACAAGGCTTAGAGGAAGATGAGGAACAAGAAGACATTAAGCGGCGCAATAAAGAGGTGTAGTTTCTTCATTTCAATTTAATTTTGCCAAATATTATTGCAGAATGTTACTGTCAATTTTTTATTCATATGAAAAATGTAATTCAAAGGAAGCAAGTTTGATGATTGCCATCTTAATACACAAGTTTTGGTATTTTAGATTACAGATCTCTTGACCAATGCATTTGATGATTTAGATGATGACAATGACATTAGTTCTGTCAACAGTAGTCATTATCAAGATAGTACTAAAGAAGTAGAAGTTTCTAATTCAATGTTAAATTCTTCTACTCAAGGACTTATATCATCCAAAGGCCAAACTATATCTCAGCTGCAAAAAGAATTTGGGGTTTATGATCATGTTGAAAATTCCAAAAACTATGACAATACTATGACAAATCATAGATCAGAGTTAGAAATTGGCCCATCAATCTCTGATATCCAGAGAGACTTTAACGTATATGATCAAACAGATACACCATATTCTAAGAGTAATAGAAATAATGATATGCATAATATTACTGCCGAAACGCCTTATGAACTAGCAAGACCACCTAATTCTGCATTTCCTAGAGATTTAAGAGTTCAAACTGAGGAAGAATACACATTTAATGAAAATTACTCATATAATTATCAAACACCAGCTAATCATTATGATGCTCAAAGTAAAAATTATTCCAATAATGGTTATATTGATGGATATGAAAATAATGTACAGTGTAAACAAATTCATGAATTTGGTGGTGGTGATAATATTACATCTGATCATTTAAATCACTGTTATAAAACAAGTCCAAATGGTAGACCAAGAGATGACAATGTAGCTTATAAAACTGCAGAATATGATAGTAAGGAACAACTTGAAGTTTTATATACAGTTAGAATGAGAGAAATTAAGCGAGTAACAGAAGAATTGCAACAACTACAGTTAGAAAAAGAAGAAGAAAAAAATCAGCTTAATAGAAAAATAACACTTTTGCAAGCTGAAATTGAAAGAGCAAATATATCTAGAAATCAAACACAACATGCTTTAGGTAAGATTTAATAAAACATTGATATTGTAACAAACAAAAAAATATACAACAAGGATTATAAAAGCTCATACTTTTTTGTAGTTGATGCAAAAGCTGAAATTGTTGATCTTCACAATCAAATAACATCACTAAAAGAGAAGAATGCAGTTTTAGAAAAAACTAATCAAAATGTAAGATTTTTTTATATATTCTTTTACAACATTTTTACTATTCTCAATGTCATTGTATATGTTAATTAACTATTGATAAAAATTATATACTTTAGATGACAGAAGAATTAAATGTTGCAAGGACTTCTGTAATAGAATTACAACAAAAAATAGCTGTGTTAGAAAGAGTACAAGCATTACAAGTAAATGATAAAACACATGAAAAATTTTTAAAGCAAGCCCAAGAAAAACATGCAGTTGAAATGAAAAATATTCAAACACACAATTTTACATACATATATATAATAATAATATTTGTCATAGCTGCTCAATGTGGATTCCAACACTCATTGTATCTGGGCAAGTTTTTGATATTGTATTTTTCAAAAACTTTATTATAGTTGCACAAAGCTCAATATTATGTTATGTAAATTATTTTATTGGTTTTTCAGTATATGTTTTATACATGGAACTATAGTTTTAAAAATACAAATTTATAATAAAAAAACATTTCCTAATTTATGACATTGCAATAATTTTAGTCCCTTGCTTTTTTAAATTTTAACAGGAAACATCATATGTCGCTTTGGAAAATAAATTAGTTGATGTGCGAAGGGCGCATGAAACACTAATGGTTGAAAAAGGGGACACTATGAATCGTCTAGCGCAAGCGTTAGAAGAAAGTCAAGCACAATGCCGAAATCTTATGGCAACAAATAACGCTCAACAAGTGATGCAACTTCAAGCACAGATTAAAATCGTAACACAAGAAAAAGAAGAAATGCAAAAAATAATTCATGAATTACAAGTATGTAATGTACTAATTTACATTTAGCAAGTAACATATTCACAGTAAATTCTATAATACGTTTAAAATGTTTATGAATTGTATTAAAAATAATCATTTATTTACAGAACAAATTAGAGCTAGCAAAATGTGATGTAGCACAGTATGATTCATTGTTAGCTACGACATTAGAAGAAGAATCAGATTCTATGAGACAGATGAAATTAGGCGAACTGCATAATAAATCAAAATCAAAGCCTTGTGATGATATCACAAATAAATTAAGGGGAGAATTACAAAGGTAGTAAATTTTCACCTAAAATAACTTTATATTTCATTAAATTCTTATTTTATATTATTTTATTATTGTATTGTTAATTTCTAGATGTTTAGCTGGGCAAGCTGTTAAAAGAAAGGAAATAACTCGATTAGAAAATACTTTATCACAGAAAGAAAAAGAACTTGATAAAGCTTTAATTATAGCTGATACCTGTCGGCAAGAAGTGGCTCGATACGCTAAACGTGTTAACGATTTAGAGCAAGAATTGAAATCTGTGCTTACAGATCAAGCTTTGAAAGCAAATGCTCAAATACAAAAATTATCTAATCATCTTAGCGATGTAAAAAAACAATATGAATCATTACGAGAAGAAAAAATAGGATTAGAACAAAAGTTAGAAGAAACGTTAGCAGTTAATCAAACAACCCTTAAGAAATTACATCAAGAAAGTATAAATCAACAAGAGAAAGACGCCATTAATGAGTACAATAAAGAATATTTAGAAATACATGCTAAGGCTGTAGAAAGAGTTAGGCAAGAAGCACAAATTGAAGTAGTGCAATTATCGTAAGTATTCACACTTTGTATGAAATTATGAAATTGTATTTTAATTGATTAATACGATATTTTAATGTGCAGCGTGCAATTAGAACAAACACAAAAAGAGTTGGATCGTGTTAAGGAATTGTATATAGATGTATGTAGTACAAAGGAACAGTTAATAAGTGAACACAAGTCTGAAATTAAAATGTTAAAAGAAAAATATGCTACTTTAGAAGAACGTGAAAAAGATATCGAAAAATACGAACATGATTTGCAGGCACAAGTAAAAGTAGCAGACATGTTAACAGAGGAATGTGACAGATATAAAAGTAGAGTAATTGAATTGGAAAAAGATTTAAATTATGAAAGAAAGAAAAAAGAAGAGTATACAAAGAAAATTCATCAAGAAATTGAAAGGGGTAAGTGATATGTAAATAAATAAGGTTTGTTTACCTTTTATCACATTTAAAATTCTAATAAAGTTCCATAATATACTTAATATCTTCAGCAAAAGAAGAAGCCTTAAATGAATTACGCAATGCTCATCCTAATCAAGAAATAAGTGTTCTCTTGTCAGGTGATTGTTCCAAACACTTAGAGAAAATTAATCAGGTACACATATTTGATTAAAAACTGTTTATTTATATAATTCTACATACAATTCATAAAATTTAATATATTTATAGCTTGAAGAAGATTGTAAACGTTTAGAGGATAAATTACATGCTGCAGTTGATGAACACAATAAAATATCAGAATATCAATCTGAATTAGATGATGCTAGATTAAAAATAGCACAAATAGAAATATCTCAAGAATCCTGGAAAAAGAAATACGAAAATGCAATTGGTGAAAGAAATGATCTTATTACTAAAATTTCTAAACTTGATTCCGAATTATCAAATATTAAGCGAAATTCAAAGATTGACGATTCTGATGATGTAAAATTAAAGGTGGCACGATATCAAGTAGAAAATGAAGGTTTAAAAAATAAGTGCGAAAGTTTGATTAGTGAAAGAAACATTTATAAGGATAAAATCTCACAATTAGAAACAGAATTATCAGAAACAAAGAAAATAATTGGAAATTTTGAAAATAGGTTCAAGAAAAGTAGTGAAATATCATTAAATTCAAAATGTGAATTGGAAAAAGAACTTTCTCACTACAAAGATCTAGTGACACAATTAAATAGTAAGATAAATCATTTGAAAGCTGGAAGGAATGGTAATTTAGTCATGGAGCAAAGAATCAAACAATTAGAAAAAGACTTGCAAGGGAAAGATGAGGAACTAGAAAAATCAAAGGACTTTGAAAAAATAAAAGAAGAAAGGGATCAACTTGTCTTAAAATTAAAGAATCAAGCCAAACATTTCGAACAGTATGTCAAAAATCAGAAACAAGTGTCTGCAGAATTGAATTTATCACCGCGTAGTTCAAGCGATGGTACAGATTTTCAAAAGATAAAGGAAATTATGATAAAGGAAGTTCGAGAAGAAATGGAGCAAAAAGTAGTTGAAGAGCTTAGAGGTATAGAAGAACAGCACCAAGGGAAGAGAAAAGAATTAGAAGAAAGATATAAAACTGTTTTATTAGAACTACAGACCAGATGCAGTGAAAAGACGCAGGAAGTGGAAACATTGAAAGAAACGATGCTCACAGAAAAGGTAAAAATTCATTCATCTTTCAAAGCAAAGGAGCAATTTGTTAGTCAAATGATTGAAACCAAACTTGAAACTTACTACAAAGAATTGGTAGCACGAAAGTTGAAAATCGAAAAGTTACAGGAAGAATTAAAGCAAAAAGAAAGTGATGTGGATGAGGAAAGAAATCTGATGGCTCAAGTAATGACTAAATGGGCTGCAGAGATTAGGGAAATAAAGGATAAAGAAATTGAAATGAATGAAAAATTACAGCAATTAAAGGAAAGTGAAGAAAATTTAAAAGTAGATATAAAGGCATTGAAAGAAAAGGAGAAAGAAATGAAAAGCAACGTTGATACATTAAAGCATAAATATCAATCAGCGAAAAAAACTGCAAATAATTATAAGGTAATTTTGTAATATAAAAATCACATCTATTTGACACTTTTCATTAATTCTGTTTTATTGCTTTTAGGAGCATGCGGAAAATAAAGAAAAATTTTTATTGAGTGAATGTAAACGTATAGAGGAAGGGTACAAAAGAGCCATGAATCAAGTACAACAAAAACTTGAAGCAATCGTTAGTACTCAAGAAGAGCAAGTAGCAACAAAGCTTAAAGAACTTGAATGTCAGTATACTGAAAGGATAGAACAAATGCGACTTACACTGAAGTACAAAAGTAAATGTTGAAGTATGTATTAATATTTTAGTATACAATATAACTTTCGTAGTTTAAAAGCAAAATGTAGTTAGAAGAGGCTAGATATTTTTTAATTTAAAGCACTTTATTGTACAACACTCTATTAGAAGATTTTTATGTTAGGGACCAATAAGTTAAAATTGACATATGTATATTGATAGAATTAATAATACTTATTTGCTGCACTTTATCAACGTGGCAGCAAACAAAATAATTTTATTTTCTAAACGCAAATACTAAAGTACAATTCCCGGTTAATTAATAAAGAGTACTAAAATTTATATATTAGATGGAAGAATGCGAATTTGTAAAAAAAGAAGAGAACCATTTTTGCATTTACTAAATTTATTCCATAATTTTATAAATTATCTGTATCTGAAGTATAAACGAGTACTCCTATATAAGTGAGATACAAATTCTTAGTCACATGTTCTCATTGAACATTATGACATAATATTATAATGCAAGACTGGATCTTTATTAGATCTTTCTTTTCTTATGAAATATGTAGTCTGCAAAGACTTTAAGACAGTTTAAATCGTTATAACAAATTAAATATAACTTTTTTTAACTAAAAATGTCGAAGTATACCTTTGAGTATTAAGAAATTGTTCACAATTTATATATCATAAGAAGAATATAGAAATACTAATATTAAGATTGTACAAAATGGACAATGACTTTATTATAGAAGTTCACGTTATGTATACAAATTTTACATTTATACTTGATGTGCAAGATCAAGTTATATAATCAACATATTAAACATTGAAATGAAAGAAATTTATATCGATTTGCCGTTTAGAACGTAAAAGTTGAGTGTGAAAAATTTTCTGCTGGTTCTATTTAATTTTTGAGCACATACGTATAAAATGTTTTGTACAAACTAGTACATGTAAACATTTTGTAAATGTATTAAGAAGCCATAATTTTTTCTAATCTTATAATTTATAATATAAAATCAACTATGCGTGTAATATACTCTCAATTATCAAACTACAGACTGCCGCAATTACTTTTGTTTTGTAAAATTTTTATGTCAAATTTAAAGCTAATTATTAATATGCGTTTTTTGATCCTCTTAAGAGAAAAAAAAACATAAAAAAAAAACATTATGATTTATAATATATATTTCGAAAATCTATCATATCTCAAATAAGACTCATGACATTTATGCATTATATATTGTACATTATACACTATTAATTTTACCAGTGTCATTACTGTCATGTTTTGATAATAATGATTCTTGATAATAGTATAATTATTAAACCATCACTGAATAGAGAGTATTATTAATATTAGTTATGTATTTTTGTATGTAGAGTGAATTAATTTATTTTTTGTAATAAAGATTTTATGTCAGTGTCTATTAATTACCCGATTTAAATTAATTAAAAACGTGCTCAAGTGTATTCATAAAACGTATTGTTACATGGTTATGCAATGTGTCCCATTTTAATGCAAACGCACGAATATCTCGCAAACCGTTGTAGATATGAGAAAATTGTTTGATATGGAGGGGGACATTATGTGGTGTAAATATTTTTTTGAGTATGAAGTGATAGAGAAGGTTCATTCAAGGTCAACTTAATTTCTTCAAATATTGTACTATACATCTTTATTCATAATACGATAGCATTTATTAAAACGAATACACCGGTGTGTCGCATAAAGTTATTAAGAAAATTAACCACAAGCTGGCATTCTTAAAACCATAATGATTAAATATCTTTTTACATGTTATTAACAGGTTTTCATTAATTTGTAAAAAAGTAAATTAAGAAGTTGCATACTTACGCGAAATAATTTCTTTATAATTTCGTCAATTTTTCCTTTTAATTAAAATGTATGCATTTACAAATATAATTTTATTACTTCCACTTTAATGCTTAAATTACAGTAGATCATATTGTGTTTCAATATCATTCAAGAATATTCTCGGAAGATAACGTTTCTGTACTCATATATTAAATTTCTAACCATGGAAAGTTGTGTATTGAGATAAAGATAAAATTTTGATAACAATCCTTTTAAGACATACAAAATCGAACGACATATCCTCTAAATTTAAAAAAATGAATTACTTTTTTCTTAAGACATCATTATTAACACAAGGTTCATTAAATAATACACTTTTTACTAAATAATAAATTCGATGTATTCACAAACATTAAAATAAATATAAAAAATGAAATAGATTTTGCGTCTTTCTCACGAATTCATCATAAAGATAGAATGTATTTATGGGAATTGAAGCTCCCAATACATATCGTGTTTCAGTATAAAGTTCACGTTTCGAAACTGATCTTTCCATGCGATAAACATATGTATTCGTGCGCAAAACATTTTTTACGCTAATCTATCCACCTTCTATATTCGGACTAAATATTTGTAGCATCGTTTACAAAAATTTGTTTTCTCTTTCGTTTTTCCCTTATTGAAGTTTATCTATAAACAGAATTGTTATATTTTTTTCTAGAAGTAAAGTAATACGTTGAATGCCGAACCCCAATTTTATATAACTTGCATACAGCGCCGAAATGAAACTTTTGTTATATGACGCATATTGTGGTACAATATTATATAAAACCTCTAAAATGAACTCTATTATCATATTTTATGCATTTTTCTTACTGAGGGTCACAGTAAGGGTCACCGGTGAACCCTACAGTGTAGAAATGCGTTTGGTCATTTTTCCGATTCCCAGATGAAATTAGATACTCATTTAACTCAATACTAAAATAAACAAGTCGGCTCCTTCTCTTCAAATTTGTTTACAAAAGAAAGCACACCACAAAGTAAGAAAAATTCTAGGAAAAGTGAACGAAGTAAGAAAATTTTGTAAAATATGTTATAAAAAAATATTAAAATTTTCGGTAGAACGATTGCAAACAAACGTATTAAAAAAGTGGTAACGTCTACGAAAATTTCATTGATGTATGTATGTACTGAATGATTGCAAAAGTTCGTGCCCGATTTGAAAATAAAACACAAGCGGTGTGTGCAAAGTCACGTATCATTTGATAATAAAATGAAATGAAATCAACAATTATTTGAAAATAAAACACAAACGGTGTACCTTTCGAGGAATGTAACATAATGCAAAAAAAAAAACATGTGTGTCGAAATGCGATGAGGTTCCCGCCACCTCTGAAAATTAAGCACGAACTTTTGTAATCATCCAATACATACTCATCTCTGCCTTTTTTCAACGAGATACATCGTAATATGCGTATGTAATAATTATTTTAGAAAAAATACAATTGTTTAACTGTTTTACGATTTTACGTCATTACTATAACATTAATGATATTGAAAATTTTATTAATACTGGCATCCCCGGTCACAAATTACAGTCACGCTACCACTGGCAAGTTAAGTGCTGGGCCACCGGTGACCCCCACGGTATTCAACGTGTTAATATACCATATGGTGATAAATACAGTGAGCATTTCGTCACCATCAGACTATTGTGCAGTAAGAATTAAATAATCTCCCTACACATTAAATATTACAATGTCTTCTTTATGTCGATTCCATAACAATCTTTCAGAATTTGAATTGCAAATAAAATTAAAAAATGTAAACCCATGCTAACTCTTCTAAATACGTAATTTTAAAAGACACAGAGCAGGGGTTGTAAAAAAAAAATGTAGGGATCAACAGGGACACAAGACAGGCCCTTCGCGTAAACCCACGATGATCTAATAAGTACAAAGCCCATCGATGCGTTGACCATTTTTAATGAGAGAAAATCAGAAATAGCATGCGATATGGTAGGAGTGACAGAATGTGAAAGAAGAGTTTTTCTTTTAGAGTCTTTGTTAGGTAGGGTTGTGAGAGTGTTGTAGATATAAAAAACCAAGAGCATGAATGTTTTTGGACTTTGACATTTATTTATAAATTAAAAATAATAAAACACTACATAATTGAATGCAACTAAATTTTTACGTGTTCCACTAGTTTCGTCAAATAAATAATGTTGTTATTTCATACCTTGTTAAATATAGACTTCAATTTTTAAATTCATTATGCACGTTATTTTTCTAAAAGGACAATTATACTTACGTCGATAATAATTTCATTTCTATTGCTAACAGTACTAATAAATAAGAAAGTAATTACGTTTATAATTTTTTATCTATATGGATTTTTATCTTGCACACTCGAATGATAACTTATAAATGTGTTTCAAATAATTTCGAATATATTTTTACTGATCACTAATAGCT